AGTTGTGATACCAATTCAGCCACAAATACTGTAGTGCCTATGTTGTCAAAAGGGAGGACGAAGGTTTCTCGTCCGTATGCAACCCGACGGAGCCAGGTATTGTGCAAGCTTTGGTACAAGAACTTCCAGAGTGGGACTTGTAAAGGATCCATCCCTTCAATGTCTTTGTAGCTTGAAAATCTGCTCTGTCGGATTCTGGAGGGGAAATCCAAACCATTGATCTTGTTGGAGTCGTGGAAGTCGACATCAGGTTTCCATTGCTCCACTGGTGGGATTTCAATTGGTCTGCATGTATATCCTTCGTTGACAGTGGAACTTGCTCCAGGGGATGACATAGGCCTCGGCGATCTCGGTGTAAAAGGATGACGTTGAGGTGCAAAGTTGGCATTGTTGGGAGGTGTCTGTGAACACGGAGGCGGTGTGGGTGGAAACGATGCCGTAGGTGGAGTCCATGGTGGGCGTGTTGGGAACGATGGAGATGTAGGTGGCGGAGGCGGTATTCCGGACGGGTTCCAGAAAGGTCGATTGGTCGCCATGGCATAGTGCATCGGGCCACGGAACGCAGGTACTGCTTGGTGCCATCCATGTTGATGACGGGGAGGTGTGCGAGATCGATCCGGCTGGGAAGGAGGAATTCCATTCACATCCGAGTTGAACTGGGAGATCAGGTCCTGGGACGCCATGATGTAGACGGGGCCACGAGATAATAGGTCAAAATGAGCTCGAACTGCCGGTTGGAAGCTGCGGAAAATGTCAAGGTGAGACAAGAGTAGTGTGCGATTGAAATGGTGTGAAACATAATACGTGGTACCAGTATGTGAAACGTAAAGTGAAATACGAAGCTGGCGCAAGGTTCAAATATCATGAGCATGCAGCAGTTCACAAACCTTTTGAGGAAGAAGTGGCATCAATACCGAATGTCGGGAGAAGCATTGTTACTCCAAAATGATCGGGCAGGGCCACTAGGCTCACTGTATCGCTGTCGTAGAATAGTCGATACTTGTTCCGGTGCTCCTCAGAGGTAAAGAGTTCACCAACGAGATCTGGAGTGATATGTCGAATGTCGAGAACGAGGTTGGCCTTCACGGTGCTGGTCTTGAGAGTGGCCTTCATGATAGGAGGAACGGCGATCTCGGCGGCTGTAGGTCGAATTGTCCCAAGAAGCAGTGTCGTGCCAAGATCGGCGAGCATGATCTCGAGAACCAGACGCAGCGGTCTCGTGGTGGCAAGGTGTGTCTCGAGAGTCGTCTGGAGGTGGTTCCGAAGGTTCTGGGGCGTCGGCAGGAGGGTCAGGTCGTACTGGACGTGCATGATCATCAGGAGGTTCCGTGGGTGCATTGGTCTCAGCCGTCTGGTGTGTGATCAGGCCCGGGAAACCGAGTGAGTGGAGGCAACATAGCATATGGATGCGGCGCTGGAGTTCATAGCCGTTGCATTGTCTTTGCCCTTGGCGATGCCCGCAAGGTTGCACAAGCGTTGAATTTGGTCATTTCCTCCAGCTAGGGCACGGATGCATTTGGGTGAGCGGCAAATGGCCAGCAGGCCTGATGGGTTTTGTCCTTTGCCAATTTTGTAGAGCTGAGAGGTACAGATCTTGACAGCATAGCCGGGTAGGTTGTCGATGTCTGCGATCTCAGAGGACATACCGAAGAACCCGTAACATGGGTATTGAGTTGGCATGCCGGCTTCGTTTTTTGTCCAAGTTGCCGGGCGAATGCAGTCTTCCGCGAGAATTTTGGCAACTGTTTCCCAACTCGTTTTGTGGTAGATCAGGTAGGTGCCCATGTGTTCGCCACGATAGATTGGTTTCTTTTTCAATCCTGTGGGAACCGTGATGGTCAGCAGGTTCTCTGGCTCGATGTAGAAGGCTTGTGTTTGCCTCGCAAGCTCGATGTCCAGTAAGTTGGATTGTGCAAAGGCCCTGGCAATGTTTTTGACGGTGGCTTGGCTTGCTTTGATATAAATACGTTGGTTGTTGACGGTGCGGTATGGTTGAGCCAACTGGTGGAACATCTCGTCAACGAATTGGTTGAAGAGCTGCGAGATGGCCGGGGTCAATGATTGGCGTAGGGGCACAACATGATCGGGCCCAAGCTCAGTCAGGCAGCGGACCCTAAGGGGATCATTGGCCGCCTCAACCATTTCACTGAGGTCGATGTCATTCGTGTCGAACTTGGTGATCGAAATTGTATCTGCAACCTCAGAATTTTCACTGTCACCGTCAGGGACGCGGAAGGACACAGCGCCAAGTGGTGCTGAAGTGTGGGCTGGTGGGTTGGTGGTTCCGGTGGTGGTGGGTCGGCAGGAGAATTGGGTCGAGCATTGTGGTGATGGTAGTTGTCGGTGTAGTGGCTGTCGTTCCATTTGCCCCAGGTGTCATCAGCGTCGGGAATGGGGATGTAGTACGGATTGGATGGGTTTGCAGCTGGTCGAAGTACGACTTCACGGCCTCTGGATCGGTGACGTGGTGTCTCGGAATGTGGTCGCGGGTGAGATCGATGACGTCGAGGAACCAAGGGAGAGCGGCGTCTTGGTGGTGATCGTCGTCTGTATGGAGATGGGGTTCTGCGGTCCTTGGCATGTTTCGTGGATGACCGATAACGAGGAAGAGGAGAACGAGGTCGAGCTGCACGGTGGGGAGAATAGCGAGGGTGATGAGAACGTACAGAAGGTCGATGGGAACGTGATCTTGGAGTCCTGGATCGTGGTCGGCGTGTTGGTGATGGTGGAGCATGTAGTTGGTGAGGAGGAGCGATGGCTGGAGCTTGGACAATGCGAGGGTCCGGAACGTCAAGTTCGGTGGGTCTGGCTTTCGGTGCAGGTGGAGGAGTGGCGATCAGTGGTGGTGCAGTTATAGGTGGTGGTGTCTGTGGAATAGGGTTCGGTGGAGGTCCATCTTGTTGGAGAAGTAGCTGACGTTGTTCTTGGGCTCGTTGAGAATCCATGATCAATTGTTGCTGAGCTTGAATAAGTCGAACCGATTCCGCAAGTTGCTGTGCAGTGGAGCCCAATGCTACAAGTTCAGGTGCCACGGATGAAGTCGGTGCTGCCGTAGGTGTTGGTGGTGTAGCAGGAGGAGGGGCTTTTGGAACTGGCCGACGTGGTCGATCCGTTCTCTTGTCAGAGCGAAGCCTGGGAGCCGCCTTAACTGCTGGGGCCCGTGGTGAAGGTTCATCTGGAGAGACCATCGATGCGTCCGTCTGTAATGGAGGTTGAATGTGGTGAGGTGGGTATGGAGAACTGGGCAAAGGTGTCGGTGGCGTAGTCGATGTAGGTGGTGTAGTCGATGTAGGGGATGGAGCCGGAGGAGGAGGCCACGTGGGTGGAGCGGTGGGTGCCGTAGGAGATGGAAAGGTCGACGGCGCGGTGTGCACCATAGTGGTTTCAGGGGCCAACGGCGAGGGCATGGTGGGAACGAGCTGTGGGCCTGGTACTGCATGAGGAGCCGGAGTCAATGAGGTGAACGGCAACGGTGTTGGGGCTGATGTAGACGGCATGAGCGAAGCTGAGGAAGACCATGTAGGATGCAATGACAAGGGATGTCCAAATAAATGTGCATTCTGCGACGATTGCTGCCACGTCGAAGATGGGTTCGCAGGCTGCGGTGGAGCAGGCCATGACGTCGGAGGGTTGGTCCACGGATACATCGCTTACGAGAAATAATGAAAAATAATGAAATTGCAACGACAGGATTCAGTTCCTAGATCTACTGTTCGTGCAATTGTGCCACATCAGGCCCGTAGTCAAGTCGTGCCCCAATGGCATCAAACGGCTGTCAAATTCCAACGAATTAGGTGCACAATATGTTTCACCTCACCAAATACCAAAGAGACCACACCTGCAGGAAAAGGACATGCCTGTTGCCTGTTGTCTTGCATGTCATGTCTCATCGCAAACGCTGAAGCTGCAGTGGAAACGGAGGTTTCTGAATGTTTGGCACAGCTGCACACGAAAGAACAGATCACTGGGGTCCCTGGGACAACAGGAACAGCGGGTCATCGGAAAATGGTGCAGAACAGTAAGGCCAACTGTTGCGATTTACTTAGATGAATTACTAAATTAAAATGTGTGAATTCAGAATTCAAGACTGTCGACACTCACCCTGAGAAGGGTTGCCTCAAATGGCTCCATGGCACCATGTCGGAGCCACCATGGAAATCACACTAGACAAGAATGGATCATTATATGATCCGGCAGGAACTGAATCCTGAAACATGCAGATTAGATACGAAACAATGAAATTAACGATGTATCCTACGAATAATAGAAGTACTTCAGAATGGCCATCGGGTTCAGAATCGACATCAAAAAGAATAAATAAACCAGCAATAATATCATCGGCGAAGTCTCGGCGAAAATTAGCCAATAAATAACTGTCGGCGACGATGTTGTCGGCGATCATGTAAACAAAATGTTACAAGAATTCTTTCTACGTCCTTGCTCTGAGGAAGGTTCTGATGCAACCCGACATGAAAATCAGATTGTGACAACCGTGCAAATGTATCATGTTTGTCTTTGGGGTTCTTAGCTTGGCCCCTTGCTATTCTGGAAAATTCGAGCGGCAGGTACGCAGAGCTGATCAGGCTCTGTATCCCATACAATCAGGTAGCTTCGTTGGACGTGGTCCCTGATTGTATGCCACGTCCCCCTGCAAATGTGAAAAGATTCCCTGCAAAAGTGAAAAGGTTCGAATCAAAGAAGTTTTACATCTGTTCAGATGTTACACACACACATTATACAAAATCTGTTTGTCAGTGCCTGACATGGTTTTCGCTGACACATACATACAGACAGACAGACAGTCAGACAGACATACAGACATACAGAAAGTCAGACAGACATACAGACAGACATACATACACACAGACATACAGGCAGACATACATACATACAGACATGTGTTCCCTTTTTAATTCAATTCTTGGTCACTGCAACACATAGGTGTGGATTCTACAGACGAAACATGCTCCAATAGGTGAACATTTTGTTGCGTCTACCAGGAGTCAGGTGCGCTCTCCAACATGTCTGCGACCTTTTATTTGCTGTCCATGTCTCAGAATTGTTGAGAGGAATGAGATACTGCATGCCAAAGCAGCAAGCACGACCGGGATGGCAAAGACATACTTTGAGAGATGCCTTCTATTGAAGAACATTCTTGGAACGCTCCTGATGCCACCGTTTTTGCACATACATGATGCATGTATGTAAAATCATATCGACTAGAACATCAGCAGTTGCACGTTCGTTTCTGTGTCTCAGGGCGCTCGCCAGACTGAACCTGCGAGATCCTGACATACTGCGGGCTGCCTTGCTTGATGTCGTGAGAGACATCCCAACCACACCCCAGGATGGTGATCGAACCATCAGTGGTCAGGGTCAAGAAGGGTTTGTCTGACAGGTACCCATCAGTTCCAAGGGATTCTCAGCAAGTATTCCACATTGTTCCACTCACTTAGCCATTTCAGGGAGGTGCAGTGAAACTGCCGGTATCCCTCCATCGTCAGACCCATAAACTGCATTCCAAACCCTCCCCGGACCAGGACTTGTGCAGTTCCGCTTGGTCCTTGGCATCTCTGGGTGTCCGCTCTCCCCAGCTGTTGAAGGGCATTGTCCAGCAGCGGCTGGTGCTGTAAAGCTGGGAGAGGGAGATGACCCCACTGGAAAGGGCCACGGTAAAGCTGGGTGTCACCATGTGTCACAGTCATAAGGTTTTGAATAGGAATAGTGACTTAGTAGTGGTCATTTGCCGGCTGTTGCCACTACTATCACTTTGTGGCGGCATTTCTCAATGGAGGTATTTTTTTCTCAGCTCCGGTGAGATCTAACATTGGTATTTGAATCTTTGCAGCGTCGTGCCCGCTTCAGTTGCTCCATCAAGGGGTGCCCGGAGTGTCGCCCTGGAATTAGCTGTAGCTCGTTGGCCCACGGCAACTACCTTCTCTCCTGCTTAGTCTGTAGTCGAATTGGCAACCTTCAGCCAGTGGTAGGCATATTATAGGCATCAGAAAGCACCACACACCCTTTGAATCCTTCCAATTCGCGTACCGACCAGCTAAACGTTGGTCTTTGAGACCTCTTCAAGAGGATTTGCATATGCCACTATGTGCCACAACATGCCACAATCTGTTTAAGGATGTTTACGGTGCACCTTTTCTTGGTCCTTTGTAGTGCTGATTGTGCTTTAGCTCTGTGAGACCTTTTCAGTTTCATCCAAGGCTCGGGGACTTGAAGTCTTTCACTTGGGAAGCACTTGGAACGCTTTGTTGGTCCTTGGTGTCATTGGCAGTCGACCCACTGCAGTCACTGCATGATTTGGATGGTGACGACCATTGGCAGTTCATGGAGCTCCTACAGCTGGAAGCTGTTCAGCGCTTGAACCGAGCAGAGTGTGAGGTCCGTTGGGGGACACTTGGGCAACATCTTCTTAGCAGCTCAGCCGCACAGATGATGAACATGTTGACCTAATTTGTTGGTGCTTGCGCCAAACACAGGTTGAGCGCTTGGACGTGATTCTGAGATATTCTGAGTTTTTGGACGGCTCTGAAATGTGTGTGCCTCTTCTTGGGTCAGACCTTTCGATTCAGAATGATGCCGGGTGTTGACTGACACATTTTCCAAGAAAGAATCAGATCCTCAAGGTTTCTGTGGTTGTAGCGGCTGTCAGGCATGGTTTGGGCCTGTAGCTTGGGGCAAGCCTTGTCCTCGCGCTTCCTTTGTGCCACCCGAAACTTGCTTAGTGCCCATGGTCGAAGCCGAGATGAAAATGGTGCCAAATTGCCACGCGCTGAATCAAAGCGATCAAAGGGGAGGGATGAGTGCCAGGAGCCTCTGACCATCCCTTGCGAATTGCCAGATCGACTGGTCTTGTTCAAACCTCCAGGTTGGGAAGTGCACGACGGAAATTTGCCCCAACAGTCACTTGGAGATTGTTACATCTTGTCACATCTTGTTATGTCCACAAGGGAGTGGTGAGGCCGGCAGAGGGCCTCTTCTGGGCCTCTTCTGCCACTGCCTCTGAGGCTTCGGGATGCTTTGCAGAAGTGGCTGGAGGCAGCGGGGTCCAGATCCATTACGCAGGACTCATGGCATGAGGCACGACATGAGAAGCTGAACACTAACTACATGGTTGCATTGAGTCCAGGGGAATCAGAGGCAGAGAATGTATCCAGTGACATGTTTGCAAAGGAATGGTTGCTCATCATGTGTTGACCTTTGTCAAGCCTCATTTCCTCATTCCAGGCAGCCGCCACTTGCCGCCACGTGCCTGCAGGATTCAAGTCACAGTTATGGCTTTCTGCACCTACTTGATGTTCCAAGTAGTGGCCTGGTGCTGGCAGCCAAGACATATGAGGCTACCAGCGAATTTGAGCAAAACATAGCAAGACCTTTCTCAGAAAGAAGCACCTGATGGGCTTTTCTCCAAACATGCGTCAAATTCAACCATACTAATCCAACATCATCATCCAATACGACTTTATGATTTAATGTCAGTGAGGGAGATCGACGCAGTGTTAGGATGCCTGCAGTGGCTTAAAGCTGCCGTCATAGTTAAAGGAAGCTTGTTCAGTTGATGGTGGCTGCGGCCTTCACATCTTCCCGCAAGGCGTTCTATGATCTTCAAATTCAGTTGGCTGCTGGTCGCATTGCTCGCCGCTATGTTGTGCTGGCGCATGGCTGGATGCCTCGAACTACACAGAAGATCGATGCCTTTCTGTGGTGGCAAGGTGGTTCACCAACAGTGGCAGGCGGGAGTTATGGGTCGAAGAGCTCCTCCTCTCAAAAGAGCGGGGCAAGGCAGCGATTAAGACTTGCCACAAACCCACTGGCATTTGCAAGGAATGACAATACGCAATAGTGATGGAAGATGATGGAACGCTAAACCCAACCGAAAGCTGCAGGTGCCACTGGCAAGCCAAGTGCCACAGAGCTTCATTGCATGTCTCGTTCCAGTGCCTCCCACGGCGGCGCATCATTCAGCCTGCTGCGTCTTCAAATCTTCACAGGTGGCATGGTAGCATCACATCATCAACCGGTTAGGGTTACTCAAAGGATCCAAGTGGCCAAAAACGATTCCACACCCCATATCCCTCCACGCGTTCCTCCATGTGATTGTAAGCCCCCTGTTAGAATCCAAAAATCAATCATTCGCAGCACCAGGTAGAAGGCATCAAATCCGAAGCCACTTGGCTTTCAAAGGACATCCAGTGGTACACGATGAGATCCTTGGCTTAAAACCACTGTGTGCAACGTTGAGATGAAACTGAAACTGGGGGATGGGAAGCGAGTGTCTTTGAAACATGTGGCATTATTGGTGGTACTTATATAAACTTATATATATATATATATAGAATATATATATATATCATATTATATGATCTTATATATATATATATAGATGCATTTCCACCTGGAGCACGTGTCATTGTTGCTTCATTCTGAACTGACACCCCTGTCAGGCCAGCCCAACAGTCCAGAATGGCCATGATAAAGGGCCTTGAGAAGCATCGAAGATATTCCTGATTATTCCTGCCCTGTCAATGGCTGTCACACTCATGTCAATGAAACCATTTAGTACCATGCTCATAAGATATCAAAGGAACATTAACTTTGATAATCTGACAATATCTGACACTCAATTTTGCCCAGAACACATTTGGGGATTCTGCAGATTCCCTTCAGTTCTGGGTCATTTTGTCAGGATCTACAGCACTTATCACACAGTGGGTGAGGATCAGCTGCTGTGCACCCGGAATTTTCTGCATCGCTACAGCCTGACCTTCGACACGGCAAGGGGCTCGCCGACCACCGTGCGAATGCCTTGCCCAGCGGATCTGCTGACTTCGCTGAAGAAGGCGATGGCATGGTTTGGGATTGAGCTATGATTGAGCTAAATTGCTAAGGCAGATGATCAAGCTGTATTGATGCACAAACTTGAAAGCATCCATCAAACGTCTTATTTGTCTGTCGGATGGATGCATCGCTCTTCATTTTGACACGGCCTCAACTCGGTTTGCCATGAGTGGAGGGTTCCGAGCACCAGCTTCACCGGGTATTTCACTCATGACTTGCACCCTCCCCAGTTGGAATGAACCTGAATCAAGTTTCCAATATGTTCCAATAAATTGGATACCAGTGATACCCAGTGATCAAACACAAGAGAGGGAATCTCAGACCTCCAGGCTGTGTCAGCTCCGTTGAAAATCTCAGGTCTTCCATGGATGCCAACCGGCCGCGGCCACTGCCCTGCGCGACTTTCTGAGGGATGGCCAGAGCCATGGGATGATCCATGACGATCCATGATGATCCTTGATGGTGACTGGCCTGACTGGCCTGACGGCAAAAGAGGCATTGCTGCAGCGCGACAGCGTTGATATTCCTTGGCATTCCTGGAACATTTGGGAAGCCACACCCATGCATTGAGATTTCCGTAAACTCCAGTTGGATCCCTAAATGTGTCATATTTCATGATATTTCATGATTCATTTCAATATATGTCAATAGATTTGACACAAAAAATGGTATATGTCTTTTTTGATTGCTGTTGGTATCTGTTGGTCATGTTTTCTACATTTCCTCCCAGGAGATGGGCCGAAAGCTTGGTCAAGCCGAGCGAGCGAAGGGAGGAGCCGGGGAGCCGGATATGGTGGGCGTCCTGGATGCTTCGCATGGCCCAGGATACCACAAAAAGGTGGTACCGGTAAATGATGATATAAAAGTTCGCAACAGAGAGAGAGAGATATATGAGAGATACTGAGATACTATATATATATAACACCAAAAATGAGGGCAATTGACAGGGAAATTAGGGAACAGTTTCGGATTGATGTTTGTGGTGTGGCTCGTGAAATCTTTCTCCATGCTCATGTATTCACGATATATTTGCTTCTAGTAAGGCTTCACTTGGCGCATCCGCGGGTTCTTGCGCCAACCGAATTTGTTGGACCATTGACCTGGAGATACTAGCAGTTACTAGCAACAAAAATCAGGATGATCCAATTCCATACAATCCCACCTTCCATCTTCCCCAGGGTGGCATTGTGAAACTCACCACAGCAAGGACAAACCCTTCGAATCTTGACGCCCGATGAGCTCCAAGTGGCGGTAGGGTGCTGAAGTGCTGCGTAATGGTTGATTCGGTGAGTTCTTTTGGCTTCTATTGACCTTTGGGAAAGGATAAACGTGGACAATTGTGCTACATACCGGTTATCTCATTGCCGCGACAACGTATTACTTGGTTCTGAATTTCTGGGCAGCACAGCGGACAAGAATCTAGTGCACATTGGGTCCATTGTGCTCCCAGCTGCCCTGGTATATCCCCTGCCCGTGGATCATCAGGATGTCAGCCTAGGATGCTTCATCCTCTGAGAAGCCCTGGCAAAAAAAATTGTCTGGGCCGGTTATGTATAATTCACACGTGTGTGCCTGTTCTATCTCGCTCCGCATTTCTTCGCCCTGCAATCTGCCAGTGACCTGCAGGTCGCACGCGCCATCCGCCCGGACGGCCGGGAGTCGGGTGTCCAGTTTGCGCAAAAGCAGAGCCCAACTGTAGAAAGATTAGAAAGGCATGCGGGGATGGAGCATGGCATGCATGTCCAGATGTCCGGATTCTTTGATCTATTTCTTTCTCAAGGATGCTGAGAGGGAAGGAAACGCAAACTGTTTGAAAGATGGGCACTGTAAAGGGTCAAGCTCGCGTAAATACGGACAGTGTAATTTTCAACAGTTTTTGGTGAGCTGGAAAGGCATGCGTTGAGAGGATGCTGTACTTATCTGGGCCGTTTTTCACTTTCGGCAGTTATGTGGCGAGGGCATGGAAACATTCAGAAATCCATATGATCTGCAGGAAGTACAGCATCATAGATATCATAAAACAGAATTCATAAGGCATCATAAGGCCGAAAAGTTCAAGCGCCAAGGTCGCGTTTGTATGGTGCACTTCTTGCAGTGGCCATGGGCGGCTGCCTCAGAGCCGATGCTCACCGGCTAATTCGTTTGTCCTTAAGGGGGGAAAAAGCAACAGCTTCCAGAGGAACTTACTGTAAATGTTAAACCATTGAGTGGTTCACTCCTCTGCCATCTTCTGCACACTTCAGGTTGGTGGCACGAAGTGCACGGTGACGAGAAGCTTTTTGCCAACGCGTCTGGTGGCACAGTTGCTTTGGGCCTGGCAGTTGGGTTGATGCCACCCGCTACACACCTGCACTGGGTGATGTTTGGATTGTAGGTTGGCATAGGTTGGCTTCGAAAATGAATGAAAATTATACAAACAGCATCAACCAGCTGCTTCGCTCGTTGAGCAGCTCAGCGAAGTCTTTGCTCAAGGAATTTCTCGGAAGCAAAGCTAGACCTGCTGAGGTTGGGACGAGCCGCCATTTCTTCGTGCGAACCTTGGAGAAGCGCGTTCTTCTGATTGTTTGGCGACGTTGTTGGCAGCCTCCATTCGGCCACTGTGCAACGACAGCAATGGGCTCTCGGGCTTGATGTTTTTTTTTTTTTCATTTGATATCTATTAATCTATTATTTCATGATATTTATCATTATGATCATTGCTTGGGGTCTTGTGGTTGGCTTTTTTTCGGCACAATGCCCATATTATGTTCCTGTCATTTTATTTGCCTTAAAAGAGGTCGGTAGGCCAGTTGAGTAGAACAGTGGCCCGCGGATGATCCTCCAGCCACCATGAATGATGAACTGGATGACAGATGAGTGTGGACGCTACGACCACGTTAGTCACCGTTAGTCATAATATACAACTGTACTGTAAGCATCTGTAAGCATCTGTAAGCATCCTTTTTGTTCAAATTGGTCACATGGGCAAAATATGGCAAAATTGTGCAGGGAACCCCGATGTTTGATCCGGAAAACAATGGTTTCTTGTTCTGTAAATTTTCCCCAGTGAATTTATTAAAGAAAAACACTTTTGCCCAGGAGGCGTGAGCTCGGGGCATTGGACAGTTGTGTCAGGCATGGCAGGGCTGGCATGCGAAGCGATCGTATGAGCTGAGGACATTTGACCTGAACCCACCTTTGTCCGATCAGCTCTGAAGGCTTCTTTGCTAAAGACATGTTAAGACCATGCTGCCCATCGGCCACATCCAAAGAGCAAGTTGATAAATACGTCAAAGTTGCAAAACATTGCCACCGTGGCGGCTATGCAATTTGCATCAAGCAGCCCATTTTTCACCCATTGACACATTGTTTCGCGTTTCGCAGCGTTTCGCAGCGTGCCCCGAAGAGGCCCGCTCCCTTGCGCCGCATCCGGCAGCTTTGGGATGAAGGATGCGAGGATAGCTTCAAGGTTGGACCAGTGACAGCCATGGCCCATGAGATCCATTGAGATCCCCTGAGAGCCAGGCCTCAGGTGTGGTGCTAATGGACTTGGACCCAATGCCTGGACCCGGAACGGGATGGAACTGGTGATCCTGGTGGATTCGCCGAACCCCAACATGGCAATTGACATATGTTCAAAATTTGGATGATATGGAACATGATGGTAGACT